CAAGGCCTCTTGGCTAGCATACCATCCGGGGGTACAACGTACCATCTCCCTTCTGAAACGCTGCTTCTGGTGGCCCACCCTAGAGAAAGATCCCAGGGAGTATGTAGCTGCCTGTGCTCCCTGTGCGCAAGCCAAACCGCTCCATCAGTCCCCTGCAGGTCTTCTTCGGCCGCTGACTACACCTAGTCGGCCCTGGTCTCATATTGCCCTCGACTTTGTCACCAGCCTGCCTCCCTCCCAGGGCAACACTGTCATTCTCACCATCGTCGACCATTTCTCCAAAGCCGCCCATTTCCTTGCCCTTCCACAACTCCCCTCTGCTCTAGAAACCACCCAGCTCCTGGTTCAGCACGTGTTTCATATTCACGCACCCCCATCACTATCGTTTACCATCCAGGAACTCATACACCCCACTGCCCTCAAGCTCCCTGATTCCCTCCGTATTCACCTTATATTCCATGTTTCACAGGTCAAACCAGTCTCCTCCAGTCCCCTCTGTCCACCACCGGCTCCACCTCCTCCTGCCCTGGAGGTAGACGGTGGCCCTGCATACACCATCAGGCAGATCCTGGATGTTCGCCCTAGGGGCCGGGGTTTCCAATATCTGGTGGACTGGGAGGGTTATGGTCCGGAGGAGCGTTCCTGGATTCCCCACTCCTTTATTTTAGATCCTGCCCTTCTCACCTCTTTCTATCAGGCGCACCCGGACAAACCTGGGGGGCCCACATTGTTACTCGTCTGTTCATTTCTTGGTCACTTGTTTTACACTGTAAATAAACTTACACTGCCTGCATCGAAGTCAGTCTGGGTCCGTCAATTTTTGTGACTGGCTCACTTCCATGTTCGAGCCATCCTAACACATGCAGTAATCAATTATAATGATTTTTATCTGAGCTTCTGTCTGTGTATGCTTATAATGTGTGTGTGTGTGTGTGTGTGTGTGTGTGTGTGTGTGTGTGTGTGTGTGTTGGTGCGTGACATATACTTGTGCATCAGCAGACATTATTGATGTGAAATTGGTGGAGCTGAATTATGTTAGGAAATCCAACAATATAACCCACCTACATACCCTGCACAGTTCTCTTACCAATGCAGGACTTTCTCATGTCTGCAGATTACATGTATCAGTCTACTGTCAGTCTGCCAAAATACACTCTACATAGTTTTGCAGTATATGCTTCCTTTCTTGTTCAATTTGTAAATATTTGTACACATATTTGATTTTGAATGTTGTAGCTACCTACACAGAGTATTATTTGTTAATTTACCAGTGCAAAAACACAATGTTCTGCTAAGACATGACTTGATTTTAAATAAAACTGTCTGCTGCTGTTTATATATCAGTGCAAATACATATTGAACACGAACACAGTCACAAGCATGCATCCATTAAAAGCTGGGAGGGCTTACCACAGTCGGGAGCGATGCTCTTCGATCAACATGTGCTTTTGTAGGTCTTCTGAAACTGCGTTTTCTGTCTCTAGAGTTCCCAGGATCTGCTCCATGACCCCAGTAACTGCTCATCCATTTTGTGAAGTTGCCATCATCATCCTCATCATTGTCCATAATGATAGCGGGCAGGAGCCTGAGAGACATGATGGAGTTGTGCAGCAAGTCCCAGTACAACAGTTGAAAGAGTGATCCCAGCTGAGTGGGACGGAGAATAAAGACAACTGTGAGCTGGCCTACTAAGCCTGTAACTGGCTGGCTGCTCTACTACACAATGCTGTCCTGCAGGGCAAGAGTAAACTACTTCAGTTAAATCCCCCGGTGCCTCAAGCACTGTTACTGATATTCTGGGATGACCCAAAAATAAACTGCAGAGCTTTTGCTCAAGTCTTTAAATAAGTGAATCCCCTATAGTCTTTTTAACATTGCTAGTAGAAAGTAAAAATGGAGATGATGGGAATAAACAGGGAGGCAGAAGTCAGGGAGGAACGACTAGTAATTTTGGCACTGGGTGGGTGATGTGACCACTGCTTTTAATCTTTCCATTACAGTGATGGGCCTGGGGCTAGACAACTGAAACTCTAATTTCCCAATACTTTCCACTCACTGACCTCATTAGACCTGTAAATAATTATGGCGTGCAAGGAACTCTGTGTATTGTGAGCCTTGGGCTTGATAGGGAACAGGCTGTATTGTTCATATTATACTGGGTATCACTGAATCTGTGGGTTTTATTTTGTTACTTGGTTTTTTTTTCTTCCGGAGTTAATTTTTCTCAAAATTATCAAGTACAAATATAATGTGAGAGAACTCCAACTGTGTATGGCACAAATTCAACAACTGAAAATGTATCAATTGCATAGACTGTTGCAAAATTCATAAGCACATATAGTATATTGAATGAGTTGTACTGCACAGAGAGACTATTTCCAGCATTTAAATCATGCACAAGATCTTATAAAGAGAAGATCTGACTGAGAAAAGCAAATCTTATTACATATATTTATTACTGTAATCAAGAGATAGCACATTGCTACAGAGCCACAGTGTAGCTTCTTTTATCTTCAGTGTCCATTGCAGGTCATCAGAGTGAAACTGATAGAAGATAAACAAGTTGTGCAAACCTGTTTTTTTAGTTACCAGATCCTGTTTCCTGTTAGGTTTACATATGGACATAACCTCTTCCTTCACACCTTCACAAATGGCAAGGATCAAAATGCTGCTAATCATTTCACAGACCTGCATCTTAAAGAGGAAGAGTATACTGGACCAGCACTGTTATGAGACCTTCGTATTGTTTCGTCATGTAACCTCAGATTATGACTAAGAACAAGATTACTGTTGCTGGAGCCAGTTAAGGTCACACCTAAACACAAATTATCACAATCAATAAAGGTGATTGTTGATAATAAAAAAAAAACAATGCTAACTACTCTTACATAATACTGGAATATACAAATCTTTCATGCAAATAATATACTAATATTTTTCTGTTTCTGAGAAATACAGAATCTCTGTAATCAGACTACAGATCCAGAGGGGTTAACCAAACTAACATCCTTGGAAACTTTTTACTGTAAAAATGTGGTTTCAGGCTACATAAATAGGCAATATATAAATTATGTTCCAAAGCTACTTGGTGCTCTGGGTGAATGAAGAGACACTAGGCTGTGGTCCAACTCAGTGAAACCCTATTAACTGATTCATCTTAATTTCTATTTGTGTGTGTGTTCACATACTTGCTACATAGTGAAGACCAAAAAAGGTTTTTTCTTTTTTTTTTTTTGTTTGTATGTTTTTTGTGCTACGGAGTGAGGAAATTTTGGCTGGTGCTCACTTTGTGAAACTTCTTTTTCAGGGTTAAGACTTGGTTTTAGGGTTCAGGTTAGACTTAGGCTAAGGGTTATGGTTAGGCATTTAGATCTGATGGTTAAGTATTAGGGTAAGGGAATGCATTATGTCAGTGAGGGTCCTCACAAAGATAGATGTGCATGTGCTTGTGTGTGTGTGTGCACAAAAAATCTGCTAAATTTATTTTATAAATACTGAATAACAAAGTATATAAACTATTACAAAAATACTTGGTCAGTCAGAAAACCAAAACAGATAGATAGATATAGACAGACAGACAGATAGATAGATAGATAGATAGATAGATAGATAGATAGATAGATAAAAACAACAAAAACAGCAAGACATAGCAAGAGATAACATAATCTAACTGGAATCCTTTGGTGTATTTATGTAGCTCATCTGTGAAGATTTACATTTTTAGAGTACAGAGGCCACAGAATACAAAACATTTGGTGACATCAGTTAAACCTAAGGTAGGCAGTGTTAACAAAAGCAAGCACATTTTACAGGAACAAACAGTCAGGAATAGCTAGAAAGTCCAGGGTCCTTACTGTAACCTTCGTCACTAGCCTGTTTCACCTTTGTAAAGCAAGCAGGGTCACTGAAGAGAGTAACACTGTAGCTAACACACAACTGCAATATACAAGGTTACTGTGTCTCATCCTGTGTCATAGTTTAGTGGCAAATTGATTTCATGGCTTTTCAAAACACGCTACACAGTGTCAGTGCAAAATTGATTATTCCGAAGGTTGTTAGGGTGATTTTTATTTTATGCACTTAAGAATGGTTTTATTTTATAACACGCATAAGTTTACATACTTATATGTCACAGTTATGCTTATATAGTTATGAATATCACCCTATGTGTTCACTGAACCACTGGTCAGATGTTTGCTGTGTGAGTCACTGAAACACTAATGCAACATCATAAGTCTTGTCCACTAAATTATTGAATTTCATTAGATTTATGGCTGTAGCTAAGGGAGCTCATAGTTACTTATCGTTCCTCTGGACCGGTGGACCCAAAGGAGTCTTGGTACGGTAAGGCTCCAAGTTTATTAAAATAGATTAGACGTAGATGAGAAAGCTTCAAAGGGAAAACAGCAGTTATGCGCACACACGCAGGCAGAACAGTTTTAATTAAGTGAAAACAAAGGAACAAGTGAATGTGTATGTAGGAATTAAAGTAGTATAGGTATTCTTCCCCTTCCTAGGGCGCTGTCCACGATGATTGGAGCAGAGAGGACGGACGGACTGAAGGACCAATAACGGGAGAGTTAAGTCTAAACCACGGCTTCTCCCCAACAGTTTTGGACCAATTAGATAGTAGCACCTTTTCATACAAATATTGTATACCACTAAGTTGAGGTCAGTCTTTTCTGTTTATCCTAAACAGTGAAGATCCATGTGCACATGCTAATTTTGATACGTTAATGCATAATAAATTTCACACTGTGAAATATATATCCTCTTATTAGTCTTCTCTTTTCAATATAAAACGAACACACCTCACAGGGTGGTAGCCTCGATGGATTACAATGGATGCAATTTTCTTTCTTTCTTTTCTTCTACATATTGTCATTCTTAATTTGATATAGATGATAAATGAAACATTATTACTTAGTATAGAAGGTTTGGTTTTTCTTAGAACCCCAGAAGGAGAATGAAACATGTCTCTGATATTACACAATTATCTTGAATTTTAGAACAACTCATGAGGAACAGTCGTGCTGTTAAAGGTATTACACAGGGTTTCCTCTGTCCAGCTATAGCTGGCTAACAAACAATTCAGTGCTGGTCACTGTTTGGTGAGAGATAGCCTTGGGCACACATTGAGTAGACAGGCTCCTGCACTGTCCAGACAGACCAGCATTATGCTTTAAAGTGGGCCAGAGAGGATACTGGCAAAGATAGCCTACAAACACAGAAAGACCCACATGAGAAATCTGCACTGATCATGATAAAACAGTGTTAGTGTGGGAACTAGGCACGCGGAACAGCAAGTTCAAGTTGTTATTGTGATAAAGCACAACAGTGGGAAAGATAATAGCTTCATGGAGATAGTCACTGCCCCCTAGTGGCTTCAGACACAGATACAAACACTTTGTATTTTTGCAAAAAAATAAAAAAAAAACCAAAACACATCATTATATATCTTTGAATTAAAATAATTTTAAAATTACTTCAAATGTGAGGAAGTTAAAATTTGCTCAGGTTATACACTGGCTCAATTGTCCAGCTGGACCAGCTGTCAGATGTGTTTGCCTACCAAGCCAGTTGGGCCAGGCACTGTATAACCTGAGCAAATTCAACACAGATATGTGTCAAGCCACCAAATATCTGCTCTTTGATTGAGTAAGGGATAATATTGAGTGATACTTTGACTTTATGATCAGAATGATGATGGACTATGATAAGTTAGGGGTAGAGAATTGTGTCCCCAGTTATGTTGAATGTGATATCATTGCATGTACATTTTAGGTTAGGTTAGGAAAATTGTGTTACTTATTATGGGGCCTTGAAGATGCCTGATGGCATGGCCTGCATAATTGCACACTCACTGCTGAATATTTGCACATAGCAGCTCACATGTAACATATATTCTCTCTGCATTATATTGTGTTCTTGTATCCCTTCACTTGCTTCTTTACAGTGCCTTAGATTTGTGATTTTACTGCCTATTTAGATTTGTGTTATTGGTCATCTACTTTATATTTCACTTGTATTGTGTGGCATTCATGTGGACGGCAAAGTAAGAATTTCATTGTAGAGAGAAACACGTTTCCTAATTCTGCATATGACAAATAAACACTTTGAACCTTAGCTCTCAATGTGTATGTGTATGTATATATCCCCATGCAAGGGGCAAGTAAACAGTAAACCAACATAAGGCTGTATAGTATAGCAAAATAAACAGAATAAGCAGCATTAACACGCATATTAAAATTAAAAGTTAAAATGAGAGTAAAGTCGCTTTACATGTAAAACAGTCCTCCCAAATGGCATGGTGATAGGCTATGGCTAGACCTTGGATGCAGTAGAAATTAGCCTTATAGACAGGGAGAAAGTATGACCGATTATTCGGGTAGTTTAATATAGTGCCTTTGCTAATTATAGCTGGATTACTGACCAAGGAAAACAATAGCTCCCACTATGAGTTCTTTCCTCAAACCTCGGTCTACCATGTTTCATCTTGTTTGAAAGAACTACAACTTGCCGCCACTGTGGTATCACAACTACACACTGCTCATGATTTGTCCAATATCCCATGATTCCTCGGTGTGCGTGACCTCGCAGAACACCGGAAGAAGAAGCGGCTGCAGCAGCTCACGTTGTCTGAGCGTCTGGGGCTCGTTAACGATTGCTCTGTAGAAGATCATGGCTGCTTCAAAGCCAGTCGAGCCGCAGTCCGGGGCTGGACTACCCCGATGGCAGCTGGCACTGTTAATCGGGACTCCCATAGTGCTGGGAGTGGGGGCGGTTTACCTCTGGAACCGCAGCAGGACGAAGGAAAGGAAAGGGACCGGGGAGCGGAAAACACCAGAAGGGAGCGCCAGCCCCGTGCAGGGCCAAGACGGTACTCGAACCAACAGAGAGCTTGAAAGCATGGTAACGTTATCGTTTCCTGGAGTCTCCTCATGTGTCTACTGCTAATGTAACTTAGCGTTCCTCACATTAGCATGAGGCACCTTTATGCAGCGCGTACACGTTTCTGGTTAAACGTGTCGCACCGTGCAAGTACAGTCAAGGACACCTAATGTGACTGTGGCTGTCGGTGAGAGCTGCCTTCATCGGTATATATTAGGCCGATATCAGCCAGTTCATCGGGAGTGGACTAATGGTTGGCTAGCTGTCTCGTTAGTTAACGTTATCAAGAAAAGTAGCTAGGCTAGCTAGCCTGGATGCTAATGTCTAACATTACCTACATTTTGAAATGAGTGTGCTGTCAGCCAAAATGTAATGTGTTCAGCAAGCTACAGCAGGGCTGCAGCATGGCTAAAACATCTTACCTGGCCTTGAGGTGCAGTGCTCACGGATCTGTGCAGTTTGCATGGTGTTAATCCTTGAAGTGAAGTGCATATTCTCGGATGTTTCTAGTAATTATGGCTCCCATACGTTAAATGGCATTGCATAACCATGAGAATTATATTATTAGTATGATAAGTAACCTTACAAATATGGAAACTTCTGGAGATATGGGGTCACTATGTCATGACTGTGAGAACGAGAAAATGTGACTCAACAGCCATCTCTGTACACACTGAGCAGGAATCTTAATTCACTGCAGTTTTATTGCACACAAAAACAAAAAGTTTGATCAAACAGCTTACCAGTGTGGGTTACATTACCAGTCGGTCCACGTTTGTGCTGTTGCAGTGTATGCTATTGTAAATGTAATATGCTTACTTATCAGTACTGAAAACTGAAATAATTGAAATTTCTCAAGAAACCTGAACTTGGGTTTTTAGGTTTAGCATCTCCATCACTGTTGAGCATTATGGCTGTAATCATTAAATCAGTGTTACTGTAGGCATTGCTGTCAGTGGTTTGTCTGGACTTTCTGGCTTGTCACTTTGCTCTTAATAGGTAAAAACTCCAGCAATACCTGTAGTGTAAAGAATAACTTTATTGCAGCTTGGCAATGGATGAAGCTGTGCCAGAAATCTCCACTTGTCAGTTTGGTGGCATTCAATTCTTACACTTATGGAAGTCTAAGATTCTGAGGAATATTAAATTAAGTAGAAAATCAGCCTTTTGGCTCTTCAGTTCTTGATCAAGTTCAGGTAGGTAAGTAGGTACTTTATTGTACCTACCTACTTACCTACCTACCAGTTCTTGATCAAGTTCAGCGGGTCACAGTGCAAGACAATTCAGTTAATGAATGCTACCTTCTCTCTCTCTTTCTCTCTCTCTCTCTCATTCAGAGCCCCTTGGATCGGGCCCAAGCAGCAAAGAACAAAGGCAACAAGTACTTCAAGGCTGGCAAGTATGAGAACGCCATCCAGTGCTACACAGAGGCCATTGCTCTCTGCCCCACTGAGCAGAAGGCTGATATGTCAACATTTTACCAGAACAGAGCAGCAGCCTATGAACAGCAGGTTGGCAACACTTCATTTTAATCTGTGCAGACTGGTGTTAATGTGAAAGACTCACCTGTGATGTGAAGAAAAAAAAGCTACATTTTGAGATCGTTCATTATAAGGAAGTAAAATCATGTGTTGGGGACCAATAGTTACAAAGTGTTTTCATCATGAGTTTTAAAATGTTTGTATTGTTGGTCAAATATTGTGTCTTGTGCTTGCAGAAGAAAAGCCATATGGGTCAATCATCCTTGCTCTTTGAGTTTAATATATGGCCTCACTGTACATTAAGGGGTTCTCCTCCAGCCCTTCTCAAAATTTAAAGTTGGGGTGATTCGTTTCTAAGTCCATTGTTGCTGTGAGCTATGTAGTGCTGAAGTGTGGAGTTAGACCATTAAACAGTTATTCATCACTTTTGATTTGAGGATTTTTCAGGCAGGACAGAAAGCATGACTTGTTGACGCACTGGAGCCATCCTTAACATAATGCCTTCCCCCATCAGAGCTGAATGCAGCTACTGCACTGGACAGAGAACTACTGTTAGCTGATAGCCTAACAAACTCGTAGACTGCGGGCAAAGCTTACATTTTCGCTTCTCTGCAAGTTTGTGCTTGTTTAGCAGGTGTTTCATTAAATTACTCCCATTTGCCTTTTACATGCGAAGGTTTTATTGTACAAACATTAATGAGCATAGGTATTGTAAACTTTTGTTTCACTTTCCCTTCTATTGGGATGCATCTCCACTGCGGTGACAGCAGCTGTCTGCTGTGTGTGTGTGAGCTGAGCACCACTCGCTCTCATTCAAATGCCAACACAAAGAAGAAGCAGCACCATAAACACCAAAACCATATTCTGATCCACTGCTCTTACTCAGTGGTCTTTGATAAAATGCTCCTGTAGAGCCCTAGCGCATTAGCACCAGTTGTCCTGTTGAGTCATGAGCTACTGCCTTACTACACCTACTACAGTTTGCTAGCCAGATAGCTATGCCTTCACCTATGAAGGGCATCTTTCCTGCATGTTTTCCCTTAATACAGCCATAATGAGAACAGGCAGCACATTTCCACGATTGGGCTTGGTTTCAGTGTCTTCACTCGACAAACCCCCAGCATGTCAGAGCGGAAAATACACACTTTTTTATGATTTTGAAAGCAGTTTTTTGATCATTCAAATTTGGCTGAGTGGCTAATAACATATTTCCTGTTGTGTGACAAATGCAGAACACACATTTATTACATGGACTTTAAAGCCAAGAGACAGCATAGCATGCCTCTACAGAAAATAGTGGTTTGTAGGGGTGGGAGAAAAAAAAAATCGATTGACATTAGAATTGTAATTCCTATCTTCTGCCATTGAAAATCAATTCACAAATGCTAAACGATTTTTGTAATAATGTAACAATTTTGTAACACGAGTTATGCTGTACTTCAGTGGTTCTAACATTAGTTCATCTTCAGCGAGGGAAAACAACTACGTGTGTATGAATGACTTGATAGTGAGCTTTGAAAGACAAGTATGGAGTACTGTGGGACTACTTTTTAGCCCATCACCAACAGCTGGTGTAGCGGACAGCGAATGTATTAACAAACGAGAGCAGTTCAGCAACACGTCAGTCAAACTGCTGCGACAAAGAAGAGAGTTTGGTTCTACAGACCTGTGCCCATTTTGGATCACACTGCTTTTCTCTGGTGGTAACACTGCAGCACAGACGTTATTCTCCACTGCTGCAGACGTAATGTTTAAGCGCCCACGGCATGCTCATTTCCAGCCATTTAATGTTTAATCTTGGGTACCTCTAGATTAGCTTTGCACCCATTATAACTCCAAAGAGTCAAATTATTTCAAACCCAATATCACAAGGAGAGCCTCCTCCTGAAAATGAGAGGATAGTTTGTGAATGCACACAACTCCTGTTGCCATTAGAAAGCTACAACAACACATAAACAAAAAACTTATTGAAAATATTGCTACTTAGTTGGTTTTGATGCTTTGACATATTGCTACTTAGTTGGTTTTGATGCTCATCAGAACCAGTTATCTTAACTGTCTGTTAAGCTTTAGCAGCTCAGTGGGCAAAGGACAGAAATCAGTTGGTTGACACACGATCTCCAGACTGAGCTTTCCTGACAAGGTTGTAGGTGCTGTGCTGTGGCGGTGAATGCTAAAATTGAAAACGGATTACCTACCCAATGAATGAATATATGGATATTCGGGTTCAGCCCTAAACTTGTGTAACTGTTATTTCAGATGAAATGGACGGAAGTCGTACAGGACTGCTCTCACGCTGTGGAGCTGAATCCACGTTATGTCAAGGCTCTGTTCAGGAGAGCGAAAGCTCTGGAAAAACTTGACAACAAGAAGGAGTGCCTAGAGGGTGAGAAACCTATGTGTTCAAAAATGTTCCTGAATGTGTTTAGCCTAAAATGTGACACTTAACAGTTGGTTATGTTATCTGTGTACCCTCCAGATGTCACAGCCGTGTGTATTCTTGAGGCCTTCCAGAACCAACAGAGCATGCTGCTGGCAGACAAGGTGCTGAAACAGCTGGGGAAAGAGAAGGCCAAAGAGAAGTACAAGGTATTTGTTCACACAAAGAGTCTTAATTTTGATTTTATTTCCCTGAACCGTCGGTGTAAACCTTTTAAAACCCCTCTTCTGTAGAACCGTGAGCCGATGATGCCCTCTCCTCAGTTCATCAAGTCCTACTTTAGCTCGTTCACTGATGACATCATCTCCCAGTCGCTGCAGAAGGGGGAGAAGAAAGATGAAGACAAGGACAAAGAGGGCGAGGCAGCTGAGGTCACTGAGAGGTCAGAGAATATTTACTCAGCTTTGTTGGTACTGGTGACTAGGGCTGCACGATAAATCATTTAGTGAGCATGATTTAGATCCCTGTGCAATCTCGGTCTCGCGTGACTATGATTCTGTCGTGTTTGCGTTAACAGGGAGATGCCTTGCATCAAACCAAGTGCTCCCTTTTCCTAGTTAAGTTGTGTTAACCAATAGCAAGAATATCATGTGATGGGCTGTAGACAGGAAGACCGATTCAAAAACTAAATCCAACATTTGACATTGTGAAAGATATTCTGTGCCATCCTGCTACTCTTTTATAAACATTACGCTGACTGCTCTGTACACCCAGTGCCAAATAGCACTCGGTGCACAGACACTAGGTGAAATAAATCACTTTGTGGCTATTATATAGTGGTGGTTATTGGTTAACGCAGCTTAGAGAGGAAAAGGGAGTGCTTGGTTTGATGCAAGGGATCTCACTGCTAATGCAAACACGCTAAAATTATTGTCACGTGAGACTGAGATCGGACAGGGATCTAAATCACGCTAACAAAAACGATGACCCGTGCAGCCCAACTAGTGGCAAGTGAGCTGGTAGCAGAGAACAAGATGCTGATAATGTTCCAGAGAGGTTTTTTCCCCCATTTTCACTTGGTCGTGCCAGAATTTCCATGTTTGCAAATGTATTGAGATATAAAATACATTCATACCTCCAAAGGGAACATAGACTTTTACATAGAAATTTACATTAGCAGGTAATTTTACGGTCTGACTCCTAGAACAAGGAGTTGTTACAGGTAGAGATGCACCAAATGCATTCAAATTTTTTTGGAGATCTCAGCGATCGGCTGGTCAGTGGTCAAGAGCAATCACACTGAAAAATGGCCGCTTCCACTCTCCGCTGATTAATGGGTGCATCTCTAATTACAACCCCTACTGAAATTCAGCATGGCATGACCTTGATCATATTTTACAGCCAGTGCATATTTCAGGGCCATTGTGGAGAGCAGTGTATACACGAGAGCATGGATGGGATGAGAACATGTCCTGATATTCCACTTCAGATTTTGCAGTATATCACTGTATGCATATCTGGGAATTTTAGCCTTGCTGTGACATAGGTGGAGAGGTTGGGGGAGGAAGCTAATCATTATGAATCTTCTGCTGGGACATTAATATCCACAGCTAATTTAATAGGAATCCAGACATTCATGTAATTGTTTATGAAATGTGAATTATCATGTGGTGGATAGGAGCCTTTCCTGATGTGGTCTCTTTTACTTCCTTAGTTCTGGCTACCTGAAGGCAAAGCAGTATATGGAGGAGGAGAACTACGACAAGATCATCAGTGAATGCACAAAGGAGATCGAGTCAGGAGGTCGATACACTGCCGAGGCCCTGCTGCTGCGCTCCACTTTCTACCTGCTGATTGGTAATGCTACTGCTGCTCAACCTGATTTGGACCAGGTCATCAACATGCAGGGTGCCAATGTGAAGGTACGAGGTGCCAGTTTCATAAGTCTGCTCTTAGCTGAGATTATGGGAGCAATTTAAACTCTGAGACAGTTGATTAATACGACATAGGTCTGAATGATTTGGAAAAATAATCCAATTGTAATTTTATTTTAGAGAAATATTGCACTTGCAACTTGATATGGGATATATATTATTGACTGCAAACAAGGTTTACTGTGAATGACAGCAGCTAGATGAACCCCATCCTCACATGCACTAGTGATACTGAGGGTTACTGCTGTTAAATTTACTTTGTATTAAATTGTATTTTTCACTTTTCTCTACAACTTGTTATTTAGCTATAGGCTAGCATGTGTGAGATTAGAACTCAAACTGGTCAGTACAGCAGTAAATAAGAACAGGTATGTTTTCTTTTATCATTCATAAACTTTTGCAGAGCTCATCACATACTGAGTGTTCTGCTGAAACCAGAGCAGAAAGTGAAGCTGTAAAACATCGCCCACTCATTGTTAAATTTCAGTTTGAAAACATTTAATTTTTCAGTACTATTACGACTGCAAGGCTATAAAAATGTGTTCTAGCTGCCTGTATTAAGGTTCAGCTTTATCTGCAGATAATTTTGGTAACTTTGAGAAAATGTAGACCAATGTCTTGTTTAATAAATCTCATTCTTTCACTCAATCGCATGAGGTTCTCAGGTAATTTCAGTGCAGTTTGTGGGACAGTTGATCAGGCGATCTCCCCAAGTATAAACTAAAGTTTAGACTCACAGCACAATAGCCTGTCTGAGAAACCTGCCCCCGTTACTGTTTACTGGTTTTTATGCTAGAAAAAATACATTAAAGAAGTATTGGTTTCAAGGCATGTCATTTACTCAGTTGGTCAAATTATTTGGACGCATAAACAAAGATGTCCTTTACAAAGCTATGACCTCTCTGATGTGTCGTTTAATTTTTCCAGCTACGAGCCAATGCTTTGATCAAGCGTGGAAGCATGTACATGCAGCAGCAGCAGCCTCTGCTCTCTACACAAGACTTCAACATGGCAGCTGACATCGACACAGGCAACCCTGACGTGTATCACCACAGGGGTCAGGTAGGAGGCTGAATGGGTTTCTTTAAGATCTGTCAATTTATCAGACATTTGGGATCAGCTGACAGCTACTAATGTAATGTTTGCATTGTCTCTGGCATGCTGCAAAATGAAGGTGGTCACATGATGCTGGACATGTTTTTGTTGTACCTCAACAAGTGTGCTGTTTCTTCTCAGCTGAAAATCCTGTTGGACCAGGTGGATGAGGCGGTGGGAGACTTTGATCAGTGCATCCATCTCAGACCTGACTCTGCTCTGGCCCAGGCACAGAAATGCTTCGCTCTTGTACGTAACCAACTAACAGTGTCTTAACTCTCTAATAAATAAATTGAAATTAATCTTATTTTGCATTTAGTAACAATGGCTGCTACAGCAGGAAGATTAGCTGGTGAGTTTGTTTTGCTCGTGTTCTTCAGTACAGACAAGCATATACTGGGAACAACCCTGCACAAGTCCAGACAGCCATGGATGGCTTTGAGGATGTAATCAGAAGGTTCCCAGAGTGTGCTGAGGGCTACGCTCTTTATGCTCAGGTATGAAATCAGAAACTTGATTTTCTGTTTAAAAATGATGAGTGGGTGCTTAGTGTTTATTTTTTGATGTTGTGCTCTACCCATTATGCAGTTTGTCTCTTGTAAAATGTGTGATTCAGACAGAGAAAGTAGCAGCTTAAGGTCTCGCTGATGTGTCCATTACCTTATACAACAGCTTTGTGTTCTTTTCAGGCTTTGACAGATCAGCAGCTGTTTGGAAAAGCAGACGAGATGTATGACAAATGCATCAAACTGGAACCAGACAACGCCACCACATATGTGCACAAAGGGTAAGATTTTGTTCCCACTAACTGGTTCTATTTATAAAATAACTTTTGACTCCATCAGTCAGTAATTGTTTAATATGTATCCAGTTTGTTACAGCTTCAGTGGAAACAAGACATCGACTTAGGTCTGGAGCTCATCAGTAAGGCCATTGAGATTGACAACAAATGTGACTTTGCCTATGAAACTATGGGAACCATTGAAGTTCAGAGGTGAGATTAACCATTTGGTTCATTCCACACATTACAAGTCTTCTTGAAGTAGTGGAAGTAACCTGAAGGTTTTCTTTTCAGGGGCAATCTGGACAAGGCAATAGATATGTTCAACAAGGCAATTAACCTAGCCAAGTCAGAAATGGAGATGGCCCACTTGTACTCATTATGTGATGCTGCGTACGCCCAGACAGAAGTGGCCAAGAAGTATGGGCTGAAACCTCCGACACTGTAACTTTTCTGCCAACTGATCACCAAGCTCAGTCCTCATTGCTGGGCCCCGCTGTGTCAAAAGTGCAACTGTCTGATTTACTTTTTTTCCTTCCCCAAATCAGAGTCCTGGATTGTGGAAGAAAAAGGGAAGAGCCCTAAATATATACAGTGTTTACATCACTTTAAGAGGGTTTGTTGTCATAAAAACAAAATAATTGTCCACAATCAAGCCGAGGCTATGATCCTGGCATCTGGGATTCTTACTGACATCCCTTTTCTGGCATCTAATTTAACCAGAACATCATCATAAACCCTTTTATTACTCAGAATAAAGAGAATTTGTTGTCTAGAGAGAACAACATAGTGAATGGTCTTGGCCCTGTCTAAATTACTAGGAACTGTGTACAATGTAGAACTGAAATATATGCAGTCTGTTGAGCCAATTACTCACTTAAAGGCTTTTGTGAGACTTTTAAATCTACAGAAAATACTGTGAGTGCTTCACATTTTTCTAATGGGTTGTTCACTTGTTAATTTATGCTGGTCTAAAGTGTTCTTGTTTGGGGTTACTTCCATATTGTAACATACATTATCAGTTCCAAATGAGAGATGGTAGTGTAATGTCTCTGTTTGTAATGCTGGAATTGATCCCATGAATACAGGGCGGCCGTTTTTTTTTTTTATGTTGGGACTGCCTGTTTTCTTTTATATACCTTGTGCAGCATGTTCACTTTATAAATTAATGTAAATGCAATGCTTGTGCTGTCTTGAACACTAGGAAACCCCTAACTTTAAGATACTTTAGGCAAAGAACTTGATTGTAAGGATTTAACCAACTTTGTTTTTAGTTTTGTTGAATTGCCTCCATTTTCATAATGTCACAAGCGATTGGATTTTTTTTTTTTTATAGATCACTTTGAGCAACATGATTTATTTTCTATTTTATTGTAAAATGCTTATTGTGCTATATTTGGTTTCAGCTTTTGATAGATTTTATTTTTCCCCTCTCCTTTTCAGATTATATTCTTGTAACCCAGGCCTTATTGCTTCCAGTTTATATGCAGCCCTGAGAATCTCTTGGTACAATGTATGATTTGGTTCTTCTCCTTTTCAGATTATATTCTTGTGACCCAGGCCTTATCACTTCCAGTTTATATGCAGCCCTGAGAGTCTCTTGGTACAATGTATGATTTGGTTCTCAAGTAGCCACCGTACACAGTTAATTCTATATATTTAAAAAAAAATTAGCCACCACTGCTTAATGTTTGCATGTTGGATGGATTTTTAGTTTTTAGTAAACTAAATGGAAACATTCTTCTCTGGAGCATGCATTTGTTTAGGAGCAGTAATAGCTACATTTCACTGAAAGTGTGGAAATACCAAAGAACCAAATCATGCATACAAGCTGCAGCACATAAGGTCTGCTTCTCAACTATAGTCATCTTCTCAAACTTGCAGAAACAAATCAGGAGTGGTTGTGTGAAACGAGACTGTTTCCCATCAATGATGTGTGGTGACCAAAGTGAAAGAACATAAATCCTAATAAAGTTACGGTTGTGTGAAATGAGATAGATTCCCTTCAATGATGTGTGGTGACCAAAGTGAAAGAACATAAATCCTAATAAAGTTATAATTCCTGGAATTATTTCCTACTCTGCAAGTTTTTTCTAGCCCACTGTCCTCTGGAACTTAAGTGCTTAATTTTCTTGCTTCAGATTATCAATTGTGCCACTTGCAAGCAATGAGTGTTACACCTACAAATCTCACTTACATATTCTGCTTATTTTGTGTTTAAGATGTTTGAAGTCATATACAATTAAATAATTCATATTAAAACATCACACTAACACTGTGGCAATTTAAATAGACATTTCATTTAATTTGTAACAGCTTATATATTCTGCTTATTTTGTTTAAGACGTTTGAAGTCATACAATTAAATAATTCATATTAAAACATCACACTAACACTGTGGCAATTTAAATAGACATTTCATTTAATTTGTAACACCAAACATAGTATTTGACACACCAAATGTAGGCTTGAGAAGTTGTTTTCCTCTTTTCTAAAACCTTTGTCTCATGCATTAACATTTTTCTTGCACAGGCAGTGGACCACTGCTCTTTTCAATATTGTGGCTATTTAATATTTCAATATTAAATAGCTACTAGACATTTCATTTAATTTGTAACACTAAACATAGTATTTGACACACCAAATGTAGGTTTGAGAAGATGTTTTCCTCTTTTCTAAAGCATTTGCCTCATGCATTAACATTATTCTTGCACAGGCAGTGGACCACTGCTCAAGTAAGTATGTAACGTAATAAACCTTTTCACAGGAAACACTGTCACATGTCACATTAGGAAAAGCACAGGTGTAAACAGTAAAACAATCATGGCTGAATTCTATTTAGCTTCCATTTCGCCAGTTTAAAACGTATAAGCCCCAAAACAGCCTACAGCTATTTTAAAAATAAGAATTACAGTAATAATGGTGTAAATAGTCTTCCCTAGCAGATACCCAACATTAACAGGAGCTCCCACACAGCTCTGCATGGAGGTCTAATTGTGCCACATGAGTCAAAACACCTCTCTGATGTATGCAATCCCTGTCTCTTCCATTTCACCAGTTTAAAATGTATAAGCCCCCAAACAGCCTGCATCTACCAGTATTTTAAAAATAAGAATTACAGTAATAATGGTGTAAATAGTCTTCCCTAGCAGATACCCAACATTAACAGGAGCTCCCACACAGTTCTGCGTGGAGGTCTGATTGTGCCACATGAGTCAAAACACCTGTGTGAGCAAACTACTGGAACGTTGAAGGTTTAATGGATAATGAAAATAACTATTAGTAGAAGCCCCAAGCCAGTTAGACATTACTTTTTTGTTTTAATAGGACAACACAGTTAAATAAGTAACTTGTTAGTAGTTACCAAGACATTACTTTGTAATGTTTGAATATTGTTTGTGAAAGTTTGACCATGTTACTGTTCCATTGTGTAAGATGCAAATCTCCAAGTTTTACTTTCCTGCCTCAGTTCCTTCTTATGTCAACTCTACTTGAATTAACCTTCATAAAACAAACAACTGTACATCATCTTGATGTTAAAGCAGAATAAGCTTCCAAGCCACAAAAGTAGTCACTTCTATGACATAAATGTGAGTGATGTTTAACGAGTAAAAATAAATAAGTTGTTTGGTGCCAACTTGATGGTGTAATGTGGTGTTTTCTTTGTGTTTTATGTCTGGTCTTAATTTTTCATTTCACTTAATTATAGTTGTAATACAAAGGTGAACTAGTGTTTTATTCTGCATTCTCAGACTTTTGGTTTTGACCATATGAAGAGTTTATATACAGTGTTGATCATGATGATCAATTTTAACAAGGTATTTTCTGAATTGGCAAATGAAGGGAACAGACCAAAGCAGCAGACAAGAAGAGCAGAGAAATACAAACTGTCTACTAGCAAACAAGACTTATTCAAACCGGTTTAGGTGAAAATGGAGTTTGTTCACTCTGAGTTCTGGGAAAGTGAAGTCATGTTTTCACCCAACTTGATTTATAGAATATCTCCTCTTTGAGATTAATAGCAGGTTTTAAAATGGGTTTGAATGTTACTGAGGTAGCCTGTTAGCTTAGCACATTTAACTGAGCTGGGGCCTATTTCAAGAAGGCGGTTTTGTCGAAACTCAGAGTTTGTTAACCCCGAAATGAGGGAAACTCGGAGTTTTCGGTTTCAGAAACGGAGGTAACTTAAACCCGTGAAAGCGGGGTAAGTTAAACCCGTTTCACAAAGAGAGGTAATCTAAACTCAGAGTCAGTTACTATGGCAACTTACTCTGTGAACCTAACCTGCTGGGGAGCAGGTTTTGTTCGGGAAACTCAGAGTTTCCTCCGGGTCTCCGCCCCTTTTTAAAGTGAAAGGTGTTTAATACCTCATTTAATCTTTCAGTACATTCATAGATTGCACACGTTTCCGTCACGCAGAGACCAAAATGGCGTGTCCATTCATAGAGGATCCTGTAGATGAGGACGCTGTATTAATTCGCAGGGAATTGCATTTACGTCGGGAGAGGATATTGAGGCCACAAGTTGATTTTTTGTCATATCCCCATGTATTTTTATTTGAGCGGTACCGTTTTTCTAGAGAGTCCATAACATATATCAATAATCTTATCCACCCATACATCAGACACATCACCCATCGTGGCCGTGCTCTTACATCCGAGCAGATGCTTTGTGTTGCATTACGATTTGTTGCAAACGGCAGTTTTCATTATAACATCGGGGATGCAGAGCACATTAGTAAGGCCACAGTACGTAGAATAGTTCGTAAAGTGTGCCTCACCCTCAAGCGCTTTCTGTGAATTTTTGTTGTGTTTCCTGGGCACAAACCCCTCAGAGCCATTAAAGAGGAGTTTCACAGGATTGCAGGTTAGTGGTATTGAATTCGTTTCAGTAAGGCTAATCTGACAAATGATGATCAGTTAATAACATCTTGCTGTGACCTCTGGAAATAAACTAATAATTAGAATCCCCTTCAGGATTTCCTAATGCGGTTGGATGCATTGATGGCACACATATTCCCATCAATGCACCTACATGAAAATTAAAATTCAATTCTTATATTATTACATCAGTGTTGGGTAAATCTTAAA